TTGACTGCTAACCAGAAGGCTGGTGGTTTGAACCCACCAGCCAGTCCTTGGAAGGAAGACTGGGATTGATAGGTCTTTCTTCCAAGATGCCTCTGGGTGGACTTGAGCCTCCAACCTTTCATTGGTAGCTGACTCCCTCCATGCTTTCTTTCCTTTCATCTTTAGGTTCTATAATTCCTTTTTTTTCTTTTTAATTTTCCACAAAATACCTCTGTGATGGCACTCTACATAGAGAAATGTGCTCAACCAAAGCTTTTGATCAGTAGTTTGAATTGGTACCATTTTTCAGCTAGGAAATCCAAGGTTAAACAGCTCATTATGATGTTGTTAAATTTATTACCGGGGTAACAGACTGGAGTGTGGTTGAAAGCAGTCAGTATTGCACGCCAAATGGCCTGTCAGTCTAAATCCTACTTCCATTCTTTCTAAAATGTGAATAGATTCTTTATTAGTAAACCACATTCAAAAAGAAGCAGCATGGGTTTGAAGTTCAAATGCTCCTTTCCCATTTGATACTAAATATCACATGTTACATAGTTCATTTCAATAGGTATTGGAACAAGTAGAGCCCCTTGGTTCTTGGAAAGAGCAAGTGAAAATTATTGCTGGAAACGGCATCTTCATTCTAGGGCTCAAGAGCTCTGGTGGTGCAGTGCCGCAGGGATTTGACTGCTAACCAGAAGGTTGGCAGTTCAAACCCACCAGCCACTCTGCAGAAGGAAGACGGACAATCTACTTCCATAAAGATTTACCAGCTTGGAAACCCAATGGGGTCCCTGTGAGTCAGAATCAACTCGATGGCAGTGGGTTTGGTTTGGTTTGGAAAACATAGTCAAAACAAGCATTAAGCACTTAAGACACCAAGATGAGAACCAATAGAAATAGCAGACCACAGTAGACCTATAATAGTTTCATATATTGGAATTATCAGAGTTTATTTTTTTAAACTAACTCTGTTTACCCTGTTTTATAAAAAATAAAAGACACGATTAAAAAAATGTCTGCAGGGAACCACAGACTGCAAAAGTGACCTTGAAAGTGACCAAGTAAAACTTCTATATTAAAAAGCACAATAAACAAAATTTAAAACTTACTTTATAGGTATAGCAAAATGGATGCTGCTGGTGAGAATAGATATCCAGACATTAGTTCAGAAGAAATTAGTGGGAATCAAGTGGAAAAGAAAGATTTAAAAAAATATATGAAAAATAGGAAAGACCTGTTGAGAGACATGAATGGAAATGATTGAGAAGGTCCAACATCTGGGTAATAGAGTTGTATAAGTAGAAGAGATAGGGAATGGAGGACAGGCACTGTTGAGATCATGACTGAGAAGATTCTGTTGTTGTTGTTTGCCGTCAAGTCAGACCCAACTCATAGCGACCCCTCCTTGGGTTGCTGAGGCAGTATCACTACGGAAGTAGATTGCCCCATCTTCCTTCCGAGGAGTGGCTGCTGGGTTTGAACTGCCAGCCTTCTGGTTAGCAGTCAAGTGCCTTAGGCACTGCACCACCAAAGCTCCTATTTATTGTATTAGTCATTATTATTTTAAATTATCTGATACTTTCAGAATCTGGATGATATCTGAGTCAGCATGAATGCTTGCTTTGTCTGCATTGTTTTGGTTGCTTTTTTTTTTTTTTTTGCCTGTTAGCACATCTTAAAATTTTTTTGTTATTGTTGAAAGCCAGGCATGCTGTATCTATCTGGTAGCAGGAACTAAGGTAATCAAATTTCAGCATAAGGTTCTGTGTTAATTTGGCTAGGACCTGGGCTGTGCTTAATACTTACTATGATTTTAGATGCCAGAAGTTTCTATTTCCTCTAGTTTCCTTGTTGCTGTTGTTTCCATCCATGGTAGTCGTTGGGTTTCCCTAAGAACTCCTTCTTAAATAGAATCTGTGTCTTGCAACGTCTGGAAAGGGGAAGTGTTCTATAAACTTGTGATTAAATCTCAGTTTTCCAGTGGTCCTGAGTCCCTGGGCTGTGACTTTCAGAAGCATTTCTTAGCTTTTTTTTTTTTCCCCTCTCCTCCCCTTACGGGAGTCAAGAAGGCTAGAGAGGCGGAAGTTATCTAATTTCCCTTCCCCCGGGTCAGCTAAGGCGCTGGTAAGGTAATTTCCCTTGAAGGCAGGCCTTTTGAAAGAGAATGCCCTGAACATATTTCAAAATGGTTGCTTTTCCCCTCATCCTCTCCCCATGCTTCAGGATTTTCCCCAGTCTTCACCAGGAGAATCTGGTGGTGCTCCTCGTCCTCCTGCAAAAGTGGGTGCCCCTCTAAGACCAAGCCCCTAGGAATTTTTTTTAACTCTCAAGTTAGTCCATGTCCACCATCCAGCAATTCATCAGTTACCATTTTAGTGTTCCTAGCAGTTAAATGTTGTCAGAAGGAACCATTCCCTGGAGAAGGATATCATGCTTGGTAAAGTGGAGGGTCAACGAAAGAGGGGAAGGCCCTCAAGGAGATGGATTGGCACATGGCTGCCACAATGGGCTCAGGTACAGCAAGGATTGTGAGGCTGGCACAGGACTGGGCAGTGTTTCGTTCTGTTGTACGTAGGGTCACTGAGTCAGAGATGACTCGATGGCACCTAACAACAACAACAACCAGTTAAACTGATCTCAGCTGTGAGTTTCCGCATTTGCCTATCCCTCCTACTTGTGGGGTGATAGTTTTCCCTGACCTCAATTCTCTGATAGATCTAAGAAAAATAATTACTTTTCATTTTTTTCAGCTTTTTACTTAGGAGAATGGGCATGATAACTTCCATATCTTTACATGTCAGAGCTGAAGCCAAC